AGAACCATATGATAACCGGAATTTTAAAAACTTAAATTTATAAACATATTTTTCTTAATGAGAATTATAGCGTGATCAAAAAACTTTCATATATAAAATATATTACATTGCAATACAATTTTGTGCCCAAGGATTCTAATTTCTCTGCTTCCTCATCAACACCTAATATTTTATGGGTGTTGTTTTTTTCTGATAGTAGCTGTTCTAATGGATGCGAGGTAATATCTCATTGCAGTTTTGATTTACATTTCCCTAATGCTTACTGATACCGAGCATCTTTTCAAATGTTTGTTGGTACAAAATGATTTTAAGTACCAATATTCTTTATTCTGAGAAGATCAAAATTTCTCTTTTATACGTTAGCACTGACAGAAATTCTAGTAAATGTTGGTAGGGCACAATGCTATTAAACACTACTCAAAGTTCAAAATATTGAAATATCAATTTTCTCTTGTAGTTTTCCAATTAATCAAGAATATGCCTTGAAAAGAACTCTAATATTGTTTAATCTTGCATTCTTTGTTTTAACTCTTAGTTTAAATTTTATCTCAAAAATTCTGTCCAACAACTGTAAGCTTCTATTTTTCAAGGGTGCTATTATAACGCACCAGAAAACTGCATATCTTCCTTATCTCATGAGATGGAAACAAGAGGTAAACATGTTTTCTGAAAGAATAAGAAAAAAAATGCTATCCAGAAGCTCTAGTAATTTATTTCTTTATTCAAAGTCTCTGTGGTTTCCATAATGTTATACTTAGGTTTGTTTTTTCAATAGTATTTATGCAATATCAACTCTGCTTTAGGTACTGACCCCCCAGAGATAAAATGGTAGTTTCTGTCCTAAAAGATCTCATAATCTAGTAAAGAGCGGACAAAAAAAGTCAACAAGTTTAACTCAAAACATCATGTGTTGCCATTGAGAGCAATTTGCCCAAGGTCTTGTGGGAGGATAAAGGGAAATAACGAGGCAAAGCCCGGAATTTAGCAGGTGAGGGCTGTGAGGGCTGGAGTGGGAGTATGAAGCAGAGACAAGGGTGCTTTGGAAGTGTTATGTCAAACACATAACTCAAGTTTTCCTACAAATATTTTCTACTTCTTACTTTCTCCTGTCTTTTTATTTTAATTGATAATTTTGATCCATTTATGTATATTTCAATATGTTGCTTCAGTGGATAGATAGATGTAAATATTGTGTTACAGTTTGGATTTTACACAAGTATAAACAAATGCTGATGCTTTAACTGCCTGATTTGATAACCATAATCTTACAGAGTTATTTTCTATATAATTTATTTCACACTAAATTTGTACTTCATTTTTACATTGAAGGAGGAACATTTATAGTTTATAAAATAGATTCCTGTCATGTAAAAAGTTTTAAGATATTCTTATGTTCATTTTTACCTCGCTGCCAAGGCACTGGTTCTTGGGGTCTCAAATTCTCACGTTTATGTAAATCAAAAACATCCATTAAAAGTCAACCTAGAGAAGGAGAAGTCTCTTTGATGTCTGAGCTCCTGGCCTGATTGTTTTAAATTAACAATGAAAGCAAGGGTCCCCTTCAGGCATTTATGCTTGAGTTAAGAAAGCTCCTGAGTGAAATGTATTTTTCAGGTTCTTATGGTTTTGAATGTAATTACCATAAAAGAAGTCTTCCACTTAGCCTAAGTGGATTAATTACAAAAACGTATAGAACTATTGTGTCCTCTTTAGGCAACTTATTGAAAGTTGATGATTTAAAAAAAAAAAACCTATTAAGCTCTTGCATGATTTTACTTTCATTTCTCTAGTTTGCTTGCCACTATACTAAATGAATTCAGTAGAAGAGGTCACTCACCTGGAACTTGCTTTGAATTGAAGGGCTTAAATGAATTGAAATCCATGCAGTGAGACAGAAGGAAATATATACAGCGACAAAAACTGGGAACAGAAATAACACAAAAATAAAACAAGTCGCTTCATTTTGAATCATACTTTTCTAGTGCCGCTTCTCTCTTCTCTCCTCAGAACATAACATACCAGCAGCTATGTTCTGGCCCCTTTCGTCCTTCTCTCAGCACCGAGTTCCCAGGGAGATGGGAGGAAAGCCAGTTATTTGGGTCCTTCAGTTCTGCTCTGATCCTTCAGTTGGGTGGCATAACCACCGGAGGGGTTTATTCTATCATCATGCCTCTTTGTTCTCTCTTTTCTAAACATTTCTATTGAAAGGTTTATATATACTTTTCAAATGTTCTTCCTTGGCTGGTGTCACAAATGTTTGAATTCCCAGAAGCAACTTGATATTTTCATGCATTGCATTATGAGAATCTGGATTCAACAACCACTTTAATTGAAATTTTCTTTAAATGGCTGAGGATTTTTTTTTTTTTTTTAAATCCTTACCAGAGGATATGCTTTCATTTATCTTCAGACGAAGTGGTGGGGGTGGGAGGAGAGAGAAAGAGATACAGAGAGAAATTCATTGATGTGTCTCACCGACAGGGCTGCAACCAAGGTATGTGCCCTTGACCAGAACCGAACCCTGGACTCTTTGGTCCTTGGGCTGATGTTTAAACCGCTGAGCCAAACGGGCCAGGGCTTGTTTTAATTAATTAAAGGAGCTAACATACTGAGTTATTGATATGTGCTGGTGGTGGTGTAACTTACGTACATTCTCTCACTTAATCTTAGCAATACCTTTATAAAGTAGATACTGTGATTAATCCCACAAGGTCTCACAATGTAATAATAACAGACATAGAGCTAAAGTTTGTCTCTGAGACATTTTCCTCTAGTCTATAGTGTTAGCTCTGTGCTATGTACTTGTTAGCCAAAGCTCAGAGCACAGTGATGTCCACTTGGTAAAATTCTCACAAAAGGTGAATTAAATGGAACTGAATTCCTGTACTGGCAGCCCATATTCAATGATTACTTATAGTCAGAAATTAAGAAGTAATCATTTCCACAGTAAAAGAATAAATGTAAGCTTAAGACATTAATTTGCTTATTATTATTTTTTGCCATGAAGGATATAATTTGATAATTAATCTTACATGCTACAGAAACATTTTGAACTTTCTTAAATTATTAACCTTGACCCTTGTGATAGTCAGGAAACATTAAAATGTGAAAATGCAATAAATATCACCAATAACTCTACATAATATGGCGAACTGTGTGAAATATGATCAGTTACTTTTATTTGGAAAAACATAATATTACTCTGTTTTGACTCAAGGGTGTTAACATTTTCAGTGTTACCCTTAATCTTTCTTTTGATCATTCAATTATTACATTCATTTTTCTTAGTGAAATGGAAAAACATCCCAATTGCCAAAGCTAATGATGTGTTCATAGGGTCTTAAAGTGTGTATCTCATTAGGGTTCTGTTTTTCAGCTGGTAAAAGTTTATGAAGTCAGTATTTGTTTCTCTTGGGGGAATTTTGCTTGTATATTTTAAAGATACATTTACCGTTTCCTCTGGGTGATTTGTGCCAATATCTGCCCTTCATTGTCATAGTAACAAAAATTTTCCCCTTTGCAGTCTTAAGCAGTTCAGATAGATGTTGTCTGTTCTTCTAAAACATGAACAGAATATTTGCTTCATGTTTTTTCAAAAAATTTTTTAATTTTTTTTTATTTTCAATTGCTTTGGCATTCAATATTATTTTATATTAGTTTCAGATGTTAAAAATTTTTTGTTCATCTTTGAAAAGAGTATGTTTATTCAAAGTTTATGAATTAATATGAGATTTGTTTTATACTTTTTGAAAAATTTAACTTGAACTCTGATGCTAAGCAGCCTCTTGAAGTAGTCTTGTTGCAATTGTGTTACTATTTAAGCAAGTAAAAATAGCCATTTGTGATACCATCACAACACCAACTACAGCGTTTGTAGGAAGGCATGAGCCTGAGCTTCTGTCCCCTCTGGGAGTGCCGTCCATCCTCGCTACCAGGTGAAGCCTTATTTTTCAGTGTCAGGAGAACACTGAGATGCTGTTAGAGCCTTTAATTGTTGGATAGATCTTCCACAGCAAAATGCTGTGAAGAGTAACTTTGGTATAATTATTTCGGTTTTGATATATGCAGAAAGTGATAATAAAAAGCTGAGATTTGAATTTCATATTTTACAGTGGCTTTCAAATACCTTTTTTTCTAATTTGGTTTCACAACACTCTTGTTTGTAGGTGTGAACCCATTTTAAAAAGACACAAACATTTGGAGAATTGCGTTGCAAGTCAGAGGTCAATTGCTTAGTAGAGTAACAAATTAAATCTGGGCATTCTGATCACAATCCTGTCCCAGTTCCATGTCACTCACCATGGTGAGATGCCACAAAAAGAGAAAAAAATGGAGTACGCATCTCTAAAATGAAATTACAAGATGTAGTAGCATCCCATATTCAATTGAAAAGCTTATAATATATTTTTAAATATATGTAATTTATACATATAAATATTATGTATATGATATAAATGGTTTGGCAAAAGAAGGTTTATATTTGTGAGTATATAAAACAGTTTTTACTTGTATTATTATTTATTTATTTATTTATCATTGTATTATTTGTTACTATTGTTAACCTACTTTGCCCACTCTTATATTTATTATATCATATACTTGCAGAACATTATATATATTATATGTATGTGTGTGCATATATATATATATGTCTTAGCTAGTGGTTCTCAACCTCCCTAATGCTGTGACCCTTTAATACAGTTCCTCACGTTGTCTGTGGGCATATCTGCATGTGGGTGGACCCGCCAAGAGATGGATAGAGGAGCGGTGTCTCGGTTCCTAAGACCATATGATGGTCTTAGGCGACCCCTGTGAAAGGGTCATTCAACCCCCAGGTTGAGAACCGCTATCTTAGATTATCAAACTTTCCTATCTAAGAGTTTTTAAGTGTGACAAAGAGAGAGAACCTAAAGAAATCTTTCAAATTGGTCACTCTGGAAATGATAGAGAGACAAATTGAGATGTTGTTTGAACATATGAATTATTTACTTTGTTCACAGCTGCAAACCTTTTTTGAGACATTCCTGAGGGTCAGTTCACCTCTTCAGGCTTTTGAAAACATGAAGGAAGCAATTAGCAAACTCCTGCTGGCAGCTGAAGCTTTCAGTGAAACATCTACTCTGGGACCAAAGGCCTTCGATAAGTAAAAACAAATTCTAGTTATATATAAAAAAAGAGAGAACAAAACCTACTTTCTAGAAATTGATCGCTAGTGAAAATATATCTTAATTATCACCAGTAGATGCTTCTTGAAAAATGTTATGTCACTATACAAATACAAACTTCCAAACGTATGTTTCTTTATTTATAGATCCTAACACGTCAGAGCATATTACAGACTTGTCAGTATCTAAATAACAGTCACAAAAAGTAAAGTACAATCACTTAAACTGATTTTTAAATTTGTAGTCCCTTTCAAGCTTAGCTATTTCTATCATATATACTTCCATTGACTAAGTATCTTTTTATTTACAGACTTTATTCACGAAATTTAACAACTCCTCTCTCCATATCTATGTCAACTTGAATATAATTTAATTCTTGGGGGTGGGGGCTTAATCTAGTTGCCAGAATAGGGAGGTGACTCAAGCTTTATCATGCTTTATGTGAATAAGAATGCCTGGCATGTAGGAGTAAGAGTTTCCTTCTCTTATTTAAGTGTCACAGAGTAACTTCATTGTTTAGTTTAATGTGTTATGAATACTTTAGATATATTTGTATTTTCTGTAAGAAAGAAAACAGATTCAAAATCTAAAATTAAATTGTATATAACTTTAGATTATCAAAAAACTACTCTTTTTAATTATTATAGACCTTAAAATTTATCTAGAGTAACTATTAATAATATAATTACAAGCAATGGGTCAAATGTAGCAAATAGATTATAATTGTGTTACCTATGTTTTTATTTCAGATGCAGGTTATGTTTTCAACTTTTAACTTTTGATATTGGTTTCAGAAGTTTCAGTTCCCCTGTAGTGCTCCAGGTGAGTGTGCCAAAGCCTCTGTGAGTTTTCACCTTTTGCTGAAGGATGTGTGTGTGTTTGTGTTGTTTTCATTTGTAGTAACGAGTCAATAAAGAGCAACTTCATTAAAGTCACTACTTATATTTATGGTGGTTCAGAGAATTAATTAGTATGTGGAGAACTTGTGATTTGAGTTCCAGTTCCCACTAAGTATTCTTATAGAATAAGCATAGATTTTTCTATGGTTCAAACACTGTTTACAAAATAACTATGACATAAAGCTACATATATTGAATGCAGAAAGGCAGACATTGAAACAATAGAAACTAGAGATTACCAAGCTTACTCACATTCTATTCTTTACATAGAGATTTTTACTTTAAAATTGGCCTATATTTTAATTTTAAAGGTCATAGGGATTTTCAATATATAATTTTTCTAGTATAAATACATAAATTGAGAACTGTTTTTGTATACTGATTCTTTTACTTCCTCTCGAATCAAATTAACTTATTCAAATAATTTCCTCCAAGATATTTTTAATCCAAAATAGCCATTAGTCTATAGAAAGCTTCATTCTGAGATATGGAGTGAGAAGACAGGAAGAGAAACAAAATAAAATTATATGCAACCAGAATTCAATTTTATATTGCATTGATTGATTTTCAAACTTTTATATTAGGAGAATGATTACATTATATGTGGCTCAAATATTTGGTTGAATAGTTCAAAAATTTATTCATAAAATTTTAAAACTTTATGAATTTATGCATTCTAATGGTCATTCATCATTTTACACACATCTAACAGTTAGTTATGCTCTTTAAAACTTATTGTTCAGAAATCTCATGTTATCTTCCACGGATACAGATTCTTTAACAATGGTTTCAAGCTAAACTAATGTGACTTTATAATCTTAAGTTAATTTTCTTATAAAAAATACATCTTCAAAAGAATATTACATTTTATGAAACTGTTGACCTCCAAAAAGACCACTAGATGTCAGTTCTGATCTACAATCCAACAGGAAATGAATCATGTCTTAAAGTGATCCCACTTATTGAAAGTCAATAAAAAAAATGTGTGCTTTTACTTTCTCATAGGTACATGAGCATTTAAATTTTCAATATGATGATAATATGGATTTTGAGGACCAAAACACAGAATTCCTTTTAAAAGACACTTTCAATTTTCTCTTCTCTAATGAATCTTCCCCTTCCATATTCTCTGAGATATTTCAGAGACTTTACAGATCAGGTGTATTTAAGGTAAGTGCAAAATTTTGTACTGGCAGTTTTTTTTTTTTCAAGTAATTCTTTACAAAATGCTATTTTTTTATTGTGTAAGTAAGTAGCTCGATAATTAATTTGAAATTAATTTGTATCAGTTATATTATACCTCTTAGTATTTTTCTGACTCAAAGACCAATATTATTTTTGTGTCAACTGACTATGTAACCAATCATGATAAAGTTATGAGTTGAAATGAGCTAAGACATCTCTTAATTCCTAAGGAACATTTGTGGATATTGTGAATAATACATATTATACGTTATAGGGTACTTTAAAAGGAATACCATAACTTTTTGGTGGCAGTCTAGAACAGCAGTGAGTGTTCTCGATTGACATCAAGGGTCTTGAGTTATAATACTAATTTTTTTTTTTAAGCATTCACACCTGGTTAATATATTTGATTAGAGACTGGTGATTAGGGTACAGTGCTTCATAGTGGCATTGATTAGTTTTTATGATATGTTAGTACAAGTTTTCTTGGGGCCTCAAATTATCTGTACAGATTACTAAGGACAGAATTGTTCTCTGTTTTGCTGCTCCATTCTCAAGTACCCGAAGGCTGGAGGAGACTCTTCCTGTGTTCCCCAACTGTCACACACATTCCGCTCTCCTGGCTCCTCCCGCCGTACTAGCAAAGCACTATCAAGCAGTTTCATTCAGGTTCTCTGTCAATATGAAGTTCTCTTATATTCAGTTGTTACAAGTTGAAGTTACTATATATTATTTAACATTAATTAGCCCAGCTGTTTATGTATAGAGTTCAGCATTGTATTGGTTTATGAAGTGGGCAGCAACTGGGCTGTAGCAAATACTTGAGTTGTTTTTTTCCCCCTTTTATTATTATAGGGTGAAAACTACGAAAAGGAACGGAATCAATGCCTATCTTTAGAGGAGATTAACTCAATTATGACTTTCATAAAGGAACTTGGGAGTTTGGGACAATTCCAACTGGTAAAACAGAAGGGACATTTGATTCCTTTTGATTACTGAGATTATAGTAGATCAGCCATAAACTACTTGATTTTGACTTCAATTTAGGTGAAGATATTTCTTTAACAAAAAGCATCGTAGTTCCTTTCATCTTTTCAGAGATATAAATATTAAGATGAGCAGAATCTATATTCTTTAAGAATTTATAAATAACATGTGACTTATTAAAGGTAAACTAATATGGGTGAATATAGCTGCCGGGATTTGACAGTTTTTAAGGAAAAAAATCTAAATTTTTCTAAATAAGTTTTGCTTTATGATATTATCATGTAACCAAAATTTCTTTCTGCTTATTATGCTCTTTTGTCATGTTAAATCAAATATTATTGAGTGTAACAACATTTAAGAAAACTACCTAAATCTTAATTTGTTGTAACTCATAGCAAACAAAGTGTTAAGTAAGAAAGAAAATGTAAATAATTATAGTAACTTTTACTGGTTTCAGCCTAAAAACTGGCACTATTTTTTTTTCTATATCTTTTCTTGGATACTGTTAATTTATTAATCAATACAAAGGATAATTTATACATATGTGTGCATTCTCAGTACTTGCTGTGTTTCTAGTTCTGCCACTCATATAGATAGATTATAATGAATTTGTATTTTTTCACCTCAAATGGAAAAACATTTTAACATAGCATTAAAAAAATCCACTGATAATTTATTATTAATGTGTTTGGATAAAATATTTATTTCTTACTATTAAAAAACTATGTATTCATATGCTACTTGTATGAGTTATAACCAACTTACTAAGTTAATTAAGGAATGTTTGACAGTTGTTTTTATAATTTAGTCCCATATGTTGGAGGGTTCAAAGTAAGCTTATTTCCCTGAACATAATTAAATGAATGGATTATTACTTTTAATTATTTGAAACATAGTATTACATTCAATGTGTTTGGATAAAATATTTATTTCTTACTATTAAAAAACTATGTATTCATATGACAGTTAGGCTTCATTCTATACAATGGTAATCAAAGAGACCTGGCCTCATTCTTCAGGAATTCATCATTTAAGATATTGTGAATGTCCAGAGCATCTCTTGGCACAATGTGAGGAAGAATTGAAGAATTATTTTGCAGGTGGAGGAGCACACATCAGTTTACTGACTCTGAGAGTTGAAAGAGAATAACAATAGATATTTTTTGGTAGGATTAGTATCTCGCACTTCAATATAACCACTTGTAACACAGAGGATTCCTTTTCCTTCTTCCTGATGCCCGACTCACTCTGTTACTCAGCTGTTTTCAGGTATCTACACAAAGACGAAATCTATTTATATTCAATGAAAAGAGAACAAAAACACACCCCATCTGGAAATATAATAAAAAAATCGTAGCTTATTATATATAGATTTACCTTGAGGACTGCACAGAAAATTTAATTGTGGGACTGAAAATGGATGTTTAATGAACATCTGGTTTTTAAAATATCTGAATAAATATAAACTACTTTCTTAGTAATACTACATTTTAATTTATTGTCTGCCACTTATTCTGATATTCTGTCTTTGAATATTCCTTCTCAGCTCTTCCCATCAACTTCTCCGGGGATTCAATCTTTGATGCGTGAATTTCATGTTATGGCACATCCTATGGCAAAACCTGGTTCAGTCCTGACCCAATATTCATCTCTTTTCAATGTTTTTGAGCAATTTCAGCTCCTGAATAAAAAGGCAGAGCTACATCCATTGGAATGGTAAGATAGCCACAAATTTGAATTGTGCAATCCAAAAAAATCTCTAAAGATTGATTTCAAAAGGCTTTGCCTACATTAAAGAAAGCAACAAAAACAAGTGTGTCCAAAAATTCATGCTCTGGAAAATAAGCTTCCTGAAAGTATTGAAACCATAATGATTCTAGTGGTCTTCAAACACTGTAACAAAAATATATCCAACCGTTTTTCAAACCAACCCGATTTGACTCCACTAAAAAGTAATGTTTAAAGTTAAAAGTTTCCATCTAATTTCATTTCATAGTATATATCCTTGCGTTATGGAACATCAGACAGAAAGAATTAGGTGAGATTTGTTTTATGAACTATCCGTCAGAATGGAACCCAAAACAGTGTAAGCATTTATTTAGAGCGTTTTTGAGGTGTGACCTTATTCTGGGCAAAACCTATCCAAATTTATAAAAATGTCTGTCTCTTCCACAAAATTAGATTTTTTTTTTTTAGAAGATAGAACCTCAGAAGGAAACATTTGGCTGCAAGAAAAGTTCCTTGGCCTCCCATCTGCACTTTCATTCTAACTGGGTTATGAAAGGGAGGACGGGCCAGGTGACCATGTGGCACCTCCTGTCGCTGGTGAAAAGGGCAATGCCCAAGGCCTTAGCTAAGCCTGCTGCTCTTTTATATAAGATAATAAAGGGGATATTTGACTTTTCTATGGCCAGGGAAACAGAGGCAAACCTAAACCTCCTAGGGAGATGAAAGACGAAGGCTGTGGTGATCAGCTCTCTCTTGCAGTCACCCTCGGGAATGACTTCTACTGACTTGGACTTCATTTCCTTCTGCCTTAGAAGATAGTGAAAGCAATTCTATAAGAAGCTTTTTCCCCCTGTAATTTGAAAATACAAATAATTATATATTTGAAGAATTCTTAAGACCTCTCTCAGGATAAGAAATCACTCTAATTGTCACAACTTTACGAAGTTGGCCTTATTTCTTCAATACTTGGAAGTAGTAGGCTTGACCAAAAGTTCTGTTTGTTTGAAAGTTAGGTTTTAAATAGTATAAATCAATGCTCCTTGTTCCTTTCACTCACTGAAATAAGCCAAAACTGTCTCATTTGTCACCGTTGATGGGGGAAGAGCAGACTGATTTACCAAGGAACCTATTAAAGTTTGTTAAGCTCCCTTGAGATACACAAGTCTTGGGGAGATTGTTTCCCAGTGAGATTTTTTTCAAGTTCCACATATGTTGTAAAGTTAACCAATTAAGTTACTTTAAATTCAGAATATTGAATTTATGTCTAACCTCACCCTGATTTTCTTTCAATAGGGAATTTACTAGTGGTCAGTGTTGAGTGCAGTTAGAAAAGATCAGAACTTTTTTGAATCAGACAGACTGAGATTCAAAAATCCCAACTTTGGAGCTTATTAATTATAGCAGGTAAAATTTTGACCCCTCTGAGACCCAGTTTTCACATCTGAAATAGGAATTGTGCTGCATATCATGTATTATTTAGAGGATTGCATAAGGTAATGTCCATGTGCTGGTGTGTGGGTGCTTCAATAAACAGTAGTGTACTTTCCTTTTCATGTTTCTATACCATCCACAGTTTACTTTAGCATCAACAGTAGGGGAGATTTTTTTTTTTTTTTTTTTCCCCTAGGAAAAGCAAGATAAAATTGACAGATTTATCTAAGTTATCACTGAGACAAGTAAATTTTAGATCCTTATCAGGAAGCAATTAGTAAATTGCTCTTAAAATGTCTTAAGAAAGAACACTCAGTTTTATTATCTTGGAATTGACCTGTGAGCATATGTATATTGAATTGTTATTCATGCTGTATTACAAAAAGGATGCAAATTGTACACATTATCCAGATGAGGAAACTGATGCCCTGAGAAGGGCGGTCATTTACTTAAGCCACACAACTAATAGAAACAGAGGTGACCTTCACATCCATAGTCTGGTGCTTTATTCTCATACATCAAGCAGACAGGACAGGCACGTCAGGTGTAGTCATTCATCACTGCCCTTATCTTCACAACGGTTACCTCCAGTTTTTTTCCTACAGAAAAAGCCAATTTTACATACTTATACTACCTGTGGGGTTTAATCACTTCATCCTTTATTTTATTTTATTTTTATTGAATTTATTGGGGTGACACTGGTTTGTAAAACCATACATGTTTCAGTGTACAACTCAATAAAACATCATGTGCACACTGCAGTGTGTGCCCATCACCCCAAGTAAGCCTCTTTCTGTCCCCATTTCCCCCACCCTTGCCCACCTCCACCCAGCCCGCAACCCCCTTTCCTCCGGCCATCACCTCACTGTTGTCTGTGTCTATGTTATATATATATGTTTCTTGGCTAATCCATTCACCTTTTTTCATACAGTCCCTTCCTCCCCTCTTCCCTCTGACAGCTGTCAGTTTGTTTCATGTATCCATGCCTCTGGTTCTATTTTGTTCGAAATAAATATCTGCTTATAGCAACAAGGTGAAAAGAAATAAATTCAGAAAAGCAACAGTTAGGAAGGGTGACAGTGATGTCTGTGTCCCGAGGCTCAGAATACAGAGGCCACAACAGACTCAGTATAATTCTGAACAGCATGTGCCCTCTCTGCTAATTTTGACTTCACTTGAATTAGAGGTGTAGGTGTACTTTGCTCTAATCACATGCTTTCCATGAAAACTCACATTTTGAAAACATAATTTATTCACAAAATTAAACAAGAAACCACTGCAGGTTGCCTTGAAACATCTCATTCCACTAAGAGAGTACCCTTTCTAAAATGTAGTTTATGTGCCAGCCAGGGTTGTATCTTATGAGCTTCACTTAGAGTTTTTGCTTTATATGAATTCAGAGATATTTCCATTAAACATATCTTATCCCATGCTTGTTTTATCTATTTCTAAATTGCTTGGGAGAAGGGAAATAAAGTTGACCTTTGAACAACACTAGTTTGAAATGCACAGGTCCACTTTGCATAGAATAAGAGGGAGAGGGAGAGGAAGAGAGAGAGAAAGAAACACTGATGTGAGAGAGACACATCCAGTGGTTGCCACCCACACAACCACAACCAGGGCCCAGGACAAACTGCAACCAAAGTACGTGCCCTTAGCGGAAACCTAACCCGGGTCTCTCTGGACCACCGGCCGACGCTCTAACCGCTGAGCCAAACCGGCCAGGGCAGATTTTTTTTATTTAATACACTCAACTGTTAGTATACTTGGGTTTCTCATCTGTAGATTCAACCCACCACGGATCAAAAACCGTGTTTTCACATTACCAGCTGCAGATTCACAACTGCAGATCAAAAAATGGTGTTCTCAATCATGGTTGGTTGAATCCTTGGACACAAAAGGCCAACTGTAGTTAAGATTTTGGGGAGTCAAAAGTTATACATGGAGCCCTGGCTGGTTTGGCTCAGGAATGAGAGACCGTTGGCCTGCAGACCAAAGGGTTAGAGGTTTGATTCTTGGTCAAGGGCATGTCCCTAGGTTGCAGGTTTCATCCCTGGTCCCAGTTGGGATCCATGTCTGTCTGTCTGTCTGTCTGTCTCTCTCTCTTCCATTCTATCTAAAAATCAATGGAAAGTATCCTTGGGTGAGGATGAACAACAACAAGTAAGTCCTAGACATTATTTTTTACCTCTAATTACTTTATTCTACACACATACACAAACACATAGACAAAAATAAAAATGCAAAAAAATTATTTCACATTAACAATATTTTTAATTTCTTGATTCTTAATTTTCTATCCTGTGTGTATATTGTGAAGAAATTGAATATTGCTTATTCATCTTCTCTCCAACATAGAGCCCAACACATATCTGGGATTATAAATATTTATAAAGTGTAATTAAGTACTGAACATTTGATTTAATTCTACTAGCATCCCTGTGAAGTTAGGCCAGTATTGTTATCTCTAGTTTGTTGGAGTAGAATTGGAGATTCACAACAAAGCACAGGAAAGTCAAGTCACATCCTGCCCAGTATTCTCTTTTATCAGGACCAGCAATTTTTCTGCCTGCAATTTGGGTTATTTTGTTCCCAAATTTAAGGATTTAAGGGGCAATCTAGCCAAGCACTTACTTATACCACAGAAAAAATGAGGCAAACACACCAAAATATAACTAACCCTTACCATTCACTCTTGTTAATCAGAGTTTAAGGATGGAAGCCTTGGCAAGCTTTTCTGCATGGTACACTTACACTTCTTAGATTATATGTGTATTCATCTCAGTCTGTGCCTCAGAATTTCCAAGGCTTCTTGCTTCAAGACTGTAACTTTAGCCAAACAGATTCCAATTAGAATGTGTGTTCCCGAATCACTTCTGTTGGACCCCAGCTATCAGAGATTGCTTACTTTTGGACTGAAGAGTGACTTTTTGCCCTGGTTTTCTTCAAATGTTCTTCTGCTGATTAGAGATGATGAGATTTCCACCCACCTCACTTGAGGCAAGATCGCCAGTTTTGAGGAATGAAATCCAGAAAGTGTTTGTGTTCAGCAAAATAACTGTGCCCACACAGGAAAAAAAAATAGTTTGTTAGATGTAATTTCCATGAATTTTTCTTCATTTCATTGATCGAGTTGTTTGGCATTGCCTTTACAGGAATTCCTTCACAGACGATGAGAACATTGAAAAACCACAAATGCCATTTGATGCAACTGAACATAAAAAAGGTAAAAGGATAGTCCCACTTAATTGACCATGAAAATTAGTATTGCATGGGCAAAAAACACATAAAAATTGTATAGCTTCATTAACAATTTAAAATGAAAATTAAGGAAGTGCTGCTTCCCTCATATTTGGAGACATTTTTCTTCTTAAAAATGAGAGTTGGGGAGAGTGTAGAGAAATAAGTATATTCATGCTGCTGGTAGATATATGAGTCAGAACCTTTCATTAAAGGGCTATTTAACAACATATAAGAAAAGCTTTAAGCCCTGACCAATTTGGCTCAATGGTTAGAGCATCGGCCAGTGGATTGGGTTCAGTTCTGGTCAAGGGCACATACCTTGGTTGCAGATCGGTCCCCAGGGCCAAGCGGGAGGTAACCAATCAATGTCTCTCTCTCTCTCTCTCCCCTTCCCACTCTATCTGAAGATAAATGGAAAATATATCCTCAGGTAAGGATTAAAAAAAAAAGAAAAGCTTTAAAGTTATTCTTACAGACCAGAAATTTCACTTCTGAATATTCATTTTAAGGAAATAACTTAAAACATATATAAGATTTAATTACAAAAATTATTAATAAGTGAAAAAATAGAAAGCATCACTATACAGTCCTAGTGGATCAGATAAATAAAATAAGCTATCCAATAAAATACTATAAAGCCATTCTAATATTGTGGGAAAATATTTATGACATAAAAGATGTTTTTGATATATTGTTAAGTGAAACAATAGGCTACAAGCAACCTGAGCCTCAAGGAAAATTAATGGTGATTTTAATATTATCTCTTGTATTTTGTCTATGATTTCAATTTTTTTCTGTCTTTGATTTTATTATATTTTCTAATTGTTTCTATCTAAAGAATTTCTGAACTTTGGGTTGCAATAAAAGAAAATATTGATAATTTTTAAAATAAAATTAAAAATCCATGTGACTCAATGGATTGAGCATCATCCCATGAACTGAGAGGTCCCAGTTCAATTCCTGGTCAGGGCACATTCCTGGACTGCAGGCTCGATGCTCAGGATGCGGGCTTGACGTTTTTCTCTCACATCGATGTTTCTATCTATCTCTCCTTTCCTCTCTCTCTAAAATATCAATAAAAACATATTTAAAATAAACAGTACCATTTCTACAATTTTTGAAAAATCAAGGTTTAATTCAATACAGTGATTCTGAATGTGTGGTCCCCAGACCAGCAGCATCAGTATCACCAGGGAAATTTGAAAAATTCAGATCCACTGAATCAGAATCTCTGGGTATGAGGCCCAGCATTCTGTATTTTAACAAGCCCTTCAGATGATCGGAGGCTCACCAAAGTTTGAGAATCACAGCTTCTACAGAATGAATCAGCAGGCCCAGTAAAAAACTGATGATAGACTGACATTCTCTCCTACTCTCTTCTACTATTTTTTGCTCTTTAAGATGAATGGTTTAAGCACTCAGTGTTTTTATTCACCTTTTTGTACCATAAATATTTATTAAGAAATATTTTAGCCCGGGCCAGTTTGGCTCAGCGGTTAGAGCGTTGACCTGCGGTCTGGAGAGACCCGGGTTCGGTTCCCGCTAAGGGCACGTACCTCGGTTGCAGTTTGTCCCCGGCCCTGGTTGGGGCGTGTGGGTGGCGACCACTCGATGTGTCCCTTTCACGTCGATGTCTCTCTCTCTCTCTCTCTCTCTCTCTCTCTCTCTCTCTCTCTCTCCCTCTCTCTCTTTCTCTCTCTCTCTCTGTCCCCCTCCCACTCTATCTGAACAAAATATCGAAAAATGTCCTCAGGTGAGGATAAAAAAAAAAGAAATATTTTAGATAATGTATGGTTGAATTCAGAAACTTAGAGTAAGTATCAGTTGAAACAACTAGGATGGAATTTCTGTAATTCTAAGAATTTGGGAAATTATAGCCTTAGGATTATAAAACTAGGAGTCATGAGAGTTCACCTTGAGGCAATGGATGGCATTTAGACAATACATATTTTTCCCTTAATATTTTCCAGTTTGAAATAATTATTCTTTTGAGATTTGAACCAAATAACTTCTTTTGTTTTACCATAATTTTCAGTTTAGCATAGAAGTACTTTCTGATACAATGGAGTTAAATAATAATATATGTTTTATTAAATTATGTTGTGTTTGAGATTACTGAACATATATTTTTAAATTTTCATTAACAGTTTTAAATTTACTTTTTTTTTAGTTGTGATTCCACAAATTTTAAATGCAACCGAAGAAGTGCATTGCAGTAATGGTGAGTTCCAGTGGAAGTGTTTCAGCAGCATTAACAGACACACCTCTGCTTTGAATAAATCATTATTTTATTTTAATTGTGTATCTTTAGGCTACTAATTTCTTTTAGTAAATTTTCAGAAGTTCTGAGGTTTCTGAAGGAGTGAACATCTATCACTGTTGCATAAAAATATATATGTATATATATATGTATGTAAATATATATACATATATATTTTTATCCTCACCTGAGGACATTTTTGCATTTATCTTCAGATAGAGTGGAAGGGAGAGAAGGAGGAAGAGAGAGACAGAAACATTGATGTGAGAGAGACACATCGAGTGGTTGCCACCCACACAACACCAGCTGGGGCCAGGAACAAACCGCAACCGAGGTACATGCCCTTATGGGAACCGAACCCAGGATTCTCTGGTCCACAGGCTGAAGCTCTAACAGCTGTGCCAAACCGGCCAGGGCTAATTTTTTTTTTTTTTTTAATCCTCATCCGAGGACATTTTTCCATTTTTTGTACAGACAGAGTGGGAGGGAGAGAGAGGAAGAGAGAGAGAGGGAAACATCGATGTGAAAGGGACACATCGAGTGGCTGCCGCCCGCACGACCAACCAGGGCCGGGGACAAACTGCAACCGAGGTACATGCCCTTAGCGGGAACCGAACCTGGGCCTCTCCGGACCGCAGGCGGACGCTCTAACCACTGAGCCAAACTGGTCAGGGCTAAAAATTTTTATTTATTGATTTTTTTTAGAGAGAGGAAGGGAAAGAGAGAGAGAGAGAGAAAGAATCGGCCAGGGCTAATTTTTAATTTTCTGTTTTTGAACCTAAAATGCTATGTTGTATGTTTATTTGTTTAAGGTCAGTGACTTCCAAACTCATTTTGAAGGGTCCTAAGGGTGCTAAGGCTTTACCTTAGAGGCTGCTCAAGTTGACAAATTTAGCTTCTCTGTTTCATACGTTGATTTTAAAGACTCTCACCACCCCACAGAGATTCCTTTCCTGCCAGGTTGTTAATATAATGGATAGTACTAGGGTAGAATTTTCTTTATAACAATTGAGAGCTTCTAAGTTAATTTCAATATATTTCCTTAAAATTCCTTAATTTTTGCCTAAGTATAATAAATATACATTAATTTCAAGTATTATATGGATTTTGAAATGTAAAAATAATTTTCTTCATTGTCTGCTCAGCATTATTCCAGTGGTCTTGTAAATAAATCAATGTAGAGAATCTAACTGCCTTTTCCAAGATTATGGGGCTGTTAAATTCCCAAGCTGGGTCACGAGGCTGGGTCTTCAGATTCTTTGTCCAAAGCTCATGAGTTACCTTAATATCCTATAATGATATGATGGAAAAAATAAGAGTTCTACTTAACAGGTTTTTGAGTTCTACATTGTCCAGGTTTTTTGGACAATGTTTTTTCTTTTTACCTTTTATAACATATATATAATTTATGCTAATACATGTACTTAAAAAATTTAGCCTTTCACAAATAAAAATAATTATTCTGATAAAACAGTAAAGCTGAAAAAAATTTTGGACTAAAGTCTAATTTATTATAAATCAGTCCTCTAATATAATAAAATCTCATTTGTATCTTCAACAATGTAATTAATTCATTCATTTTGTTTTGACACTATCATTAAAATTAGGGTAGACTGAAAGGTTGTAAAATAATATGGTTTAATGAAATAAAAAAGACATCCAATTAAAGAAAAGTAACATTTTATTTTATTTTATTTTATTTTTGTTTTTATCCTCACCCGAGGACATTTTTCCATTTTTTGTTCAGATAGAGTGGGAGGGAGAGAGAGGAACAGAGAGAGAGAGAAACATCGACGTGAAAGGAACACATCGAGTGGCTGCCACCCTCACAACCGACCAGGGCCGGGGACAAACTGCAACCGAGGTACATGCCCTTAGCGGGAACCGAACCCGGGTCTCTCCGGACCGCAGGCCGACGCTCTAACCGCTGAGCCAAACCGGCCAGGGTAAGAAAAGTAACATTTTAAATGCGGTATTGCTAATCAGGAAAAGATGACAGGTATTCCTTATGCCATTCTCTCCCTGCACTCACCATTCAATATCCTACTCCTAGCAAAATGCGTGCTACTCAACTCAGTTCTTCTAGGAGACTGGTCCCTCATGTACAGCAGGTAACTAGAGCAAGATCAAAATGAACATTTGTCGAGAGTCTGCTGTGTGTTAAACTCTGGGGTGATGCAGCATCAGGAAAGCCATTTCACTCTTTGGTCTTCTACTTTCTCATTTATAAAATAAAGCAACTATATGAGATTCTCTCTCTCTCTCTCTTTTTTTTTTTCTGTTCCCAGGTGACATGATGTAGATAATTTGAACATGTTAGATAATTTCTTCAACCTTATTCATGTTTTTATGTTAATAAAAATGAGTCTGACCTGTGTCTTCATAATTAATCTTCCTACTTTTATGGTATAAGATTTTAAAGATAACTTAATAATGTCTCAGAACAGGTGGGATTATATTTCTTGTTTAATATGAGTTATGATTATCCCTCAAGAGGGCAATAAAATTCTGTGGTTAAAAGAAACACATTAAAAGCAACCAAATCTTCAAATAGTTTTCCCATGTATACTCGCCAAATAGGTTAAGCAGTCTGCTACCATCATACCCAATACTGGGTTCTCCGTAGATCTAAAGTGAGCTGGCCAGAGACAAGTTGTGAGTGGGTTGGGAAGGATGCCAAGGAAACACCAGGTGTTTGTACCAGTGACACTGATGATTCAATTGAATATGATATCAGGAGTAAGTCAGCTTTCACGCAGGGGTTTAGGATGCAGCACTTAAGCTAGAGGTGGAGTTTCTGATGAAACCCAAAACAAGCACTTCCTAAAATCTTGCTTAAAAGTAACATTACAGCCCTGGCCGGTTTGGCTCAGCGGTTGGAGCGTTGGCCTGTGGTCTGGAGAGACCCGGGTTCGGTTCCCGCTAAAAGGCACATACCTCGGTTGCAGTTTGTCCCCGGCCCTGGTTGGGTCATGTTGGTGGCGTCCACTCAATGCGTCCCTTTCACATCGATGTCTCTCTCTCTCTCTCTCTTTCTCTCTCTCTCTCTCCTTCTCTCCCTCCCACTCTATCTGAACAACAACAACAAAAAAAATGTCCAGGATAAAAAAAAAAAGTAAGATTACAGCCTAGCTGGTGTGGCTCAGTGGCTTAGCATCGAACCATGCACCAAGAGGTTGCCAATTCAATTACCAGTCCGGGTACATGCCCAAGTTATGGGCCCAATCCCCAGTGGGGGGCATGCAGGAGGCAGCCAGTCGATGTCCTCTCTCTTCAATGTTTTTATCTCTCCCTCTTCCTTCTTCTCTCTTTAAAATCAACGATGAAAAAAAAATTTTTTTTTTAAGTAAGAAGATTCTATATTTTATTTCATGTGGGGCTGAGTTTCAGTGTTGCAATGGGAGAGCCTCATTGGAAACTTTCACTGTTATGTGAAAGTGTAAACTACAAGGAAATTAACTCTCCATGGCTGTTTCATAAAAATGTATATCAAATTGAAGTACAACTCTGTGATTACTATTTTGGAAAAAAAATACATTTTGTTATTTATTTAACTGGTTCTAAGCAAAGAAGTGTAATGCAAGTGTTTAAATACCCTTTTTGCCCAGGAAATAGTCCTCTGGAAAGCTTTCATATCACTGAGCTTCAGCTTGTTTGAAGTGCTGTGTTGGGTTCAGAGTCTCCGTTAGCTCTCATGTTTTTTTTTTTTTTTTTAGTCCTCACTCGAGGACATTTTTTGATATTTTGTTCAGATAGAGTGGAAGGGAGAGAGAGAGAGAGAAACATCGACGTGAAAGGGACACATAGAGTGGTTGCCACCCACACGACCCAACCAGGGCCGGGGACAAACTGCAACCGAGGTACGTGCCCTGAGCGGGAACCGAACCCGGGTCTCTCCGGACCGCAGGTCAACGCTCTAACCGCTGAGCCAAACTGGCCAGGGCAGCTCTCATGTTTTTACTGTGCTTCCCTCAGTGCCTTGGACACAGACTATTCCTGAAAAAGTCTTTGAGGAAAAAAATGCATTATTAACAAGTGGTTGAATTAGAACACAAAGGTATGGTCCTTTTCAAAGATGAAATCTAATAATATAATCTTACCCTCATTCTTTTATTTATTATAAAAGGTTTAGGAGCTGGTATAATCATCAGAATTATAGATGCAATATAACTACATTTATCAGGCAGATAAAAATTTAGGGCAACAAGTAAAATTAACCAGGCAGGTAGTTTACTCAATTCAATGACTTATTCAACTAAATTGAGTAGTTGTTTATCTTTTTCACTAAGAGTTTTCCTACAATGAAATTACAACATATCAGTTGTATTATTATTGTTCCTAATTTATACCTGAGTAGTTTTTTCTTCTACTGGCTGAGAAAACCATAGTGTGTGAATCAGAAATTTACAGTTTTATTTCATTTTCATTGTTTTAGTGAATGATGGGAGTTAGACTGTGACCTAGTTCTCAGCAGTAGAATAAAATATTCATAACATTAGTGATACCCATTACCGTGGATTTGGTAGTACAACTCTATGTCTGTCAAAGAAACAAAAAAAAATGTTGGTATTGTTGAAGCACAGCATCTGGGATGCGATGGGAGATATGACAAATGGAAAGAAAGACAAGGAAGAGATTGTGAAATGCCTTGCCTGCTTCATGAGGGGCTTGCACTGAATTCTGGAGGTGATGAGAAACCGAAACATTGAAAATAAATGATCAGATTTGATTGTAGGAAATTTACTGTGATTGACATATAAAAATAGAGGAAGAGGCAAGAGATGCTAAGACAATTAAAAATAATTTTTTTTTCTTTATTGGTTTTAGAGAGAGAGGAAGGGAAAAAGAGAGAGCGATAGAAACATCGATGAAAGAGAACATTGATCTGCCGCCTCCTGCATGCCCCCCACTGGGAATTTGGCCCACAACCTGGGCAGGTACCCTGACCGGGAATTGAACAGGCAGCCTCTTGATGCATGGGCCGATGCTTATCCACTGAGCCACACCAGCCAGGCAATAATATGTTTTTTAAGTTCAGTTGTATAACTTCCTGCAGTGAATTCTGTCATCTTTTTTGTTGCTAAGTTGTTAAACATCACTGAACATTTTATTTTAAAGGCAGTGCAAAGAAACTTACATTTTACCAATTTCTATAGAATTTCTTATGTTTTTCTTTACTGAAACTGTTGTTGGCTGAAAAGTATGGAACTAAATACTTGTTAATATTTCTTTGGAAAACATTTTCTAAGCTTTTAAAAATTTATTTTATAACTTATTTTTATTGTTGAAGTGATTACAGATGTCCCCCTTTTATCTCCCATTGACCTCCTTCTCCCCACCTCCTTCCCCCTTCACCACACTGTGGTCTTTTGAGTAATCTAGTTAATCTAAATATGAACACAATATAATTTAGCAGTGGCTGGTATATTTCCTTACCAAGATACTTTTGTAAAAATTGGTCTACCAAATAGAAACATTCTTTAAAATGGCTTAGAAGCAATAGTATGAAATAATATGCTAAATTCTCTAATAGGATTGAGCAGAATATAGCATTTGCTTCTTACATTTCAGTGTACTTTCTTAGGTTAAAGTGGCTGGGGTTGGGAGGGGGCATCAGAGTACCTTGTGATGTTTTTGCCTGGGTGTTTGGTATAAGATTGAAGTTCATATTCTTTGCTCTATCCTGCTGCCTGTAAGCTACTTTTCAATCCAATAGCAGTTTAATAACACTTCCCATTAAGAAATTTTCCTCATTCCCTGCTGGTTACCACCCCACAGAGTCATCACCCCCTGTTTACACTACTGCTGAATATATGCAGTAAATGCCAAGAACATGTTATCAATTCACTGGAGAGACATTTTCCCACCTCCTATTCCTTTAAAATTTTAAGGGCTGAGCAAAAAAAATAACACCAAGTAAAGTCAATCAATAGCTGTTACATGAGGCAAATTCTACAAAATTTGACAACTAGAAGTTACAAATCAACTCTGACCAGTAGATTTTTCTTTTCCATTTAAAAAAAAAATCACAGATGAAGACATACAATGTCATATCAAGCAGATCTTCACGCATCCACATTTGGAACTAAGTCCTGAATTTAACCCGAAGATCAAAGATTATTATTCTGAAGTTCCCTTTGATGTGGTAACAGTGATGATCGGAGCGGAGACTTCCAGCTGTCAGTGCAAGGTGTACCTGCATGAACGGGCAGGGCCAAGGTACGGAATGCTGCTGGGCGGAGTGAGGACATCGCAGTGGGAACAGACGTTTAACAGCCTTTGAAGGTGGTTTAGAAAAGCTGAGGCATGAGATCAGTTGGAGAAAGTGCCAGAGTGTGAAGTCTTTCCACCTTTTAGGTGTCATGTGGCTAAAAAGTACACATCTCTACAGATCTATCAGCAATCTTTGTGCAGAATCTTGGTAACCATGTTGTGACAGGAGTGGGTCCTGTGACATGAACTATTGAAGAGGACTCATTAAGGGGGAAGTTAGTTTATTGCTATCTTTCTGTTTTCAGATTGCTAAAGAGTTAATCCTTCTGAACAGTAGCCTCCTTCTACCCAACATAACTCCTCAAGTGTTTGAATATTCAGGGTTGATTACTTAATAAACATGATGGCAATTTGTGGACATAGTCACATTAACTTTCCTAGTCCCACTGATATTCATTCTGACCCTTTTGCGAGTCACCAGCTATTTTGTTTGTAATTTTGAACAGAAGCTAAAACCTCTTTATAGCCATGTCCATAGCTAGGAAGATACTCTCAGTCCTTGCACCCCTAGGAGCCAAGAAAACGTAGTAGAAAGAAACGAGGAATTGAGTCAGACAAAGCTGAGTCCCAAACTTGACTCTACCCTGTGACTTGGGCAGTTCGTTTCCCAGTTCTATTGTGTTCTCTATATTTTAAATGAGGACAATCATGGTTTTGTATAGAGTTGTGAGTGTTAAATGAGATAATGCATGACCCTGAAAGATGGTTAATAAATATTAGTTCCCTTTCCTATCGTTTATAGGAGATGTGACTTGCTTTGCAAGATAACTCTTAGCATACCAAAGTACTGAAAAAGAGAATTTAAAATGTTTATCTCACATTTTAAGTTTCTTATGAAATTGTACAGGCCTTGTACAAATTATAAGCATTTAATTTTGATGTATGGATTCATTTGGACTGAATAGATGTTTCTCTCTCCAGTTTTTCCAACTATCCTCTGGGCTTAGGAGCAAACAAAATCTCATTGCTTGTGGTGGATGAATCTCCAGCCCAGGGTGAGAACCTAATCACGTACAAGCTCACCATCTATCGAGAAGACCGTCCAAGTTTGCCCTTGTTTGAGGACTTCATGGCATGTGGTTTTGTGCAGGTAAGTGAATTTTACATTTGCACTTGAATTGAAGTGGAAATGATGTTAACTCAGGTGAAAAATGTCAAATAAAAATTGTTTTTAAAACAAGTATGCCTTTAAATTCAAACTGTGGTTTCATTTAAAAAAAAGCAAGAGTCTCAGCCAGGTATCTTAGATACCCTGTTGTGAGTGTTTTTCTTTTTAGTGAGGTGGCTCCTCCCTGCGCTTACTGTGTTCCGTGGATTTATTGTGGTTAATATTGAAAAAAATGTCTGAGTAGTCACACTTAGTTATGAAATTGGTTTTATATTTCCCTTTTAAGTTGTGCTGTGTTTCTTGGATTTGTCCCTGGATATACTTTCAAAATTTTAAACTAGTTTTGATAGAATTATTTTAAAGAGTGAGAGGAAAATTTATGGAACTATTTTACAGAAGGGATACCCGATGAATGAGATTAAATTTACATGGGTAGATATATTTCTACTTCACTTCTTATACCTTGATCATGCCTACAGGCTGTAGTTTCTCTTGTGAACAACACATTCTATTTTTTAACCCTGTTGATTTTGGAGGAGGGTGGACATTACTCAGACTTTGTCCTGTATGATGGTTCTCTGCTTTTTTTATTCCCCTTTTTCAGGATTCTATGTATAAACTTCTACATTTCCTCACATCATATATCCTGATTACAGGTGACTCCAGGGAAGTGATAATTGGTACTATTATCATACTCACTAATCCACTCAGAAATTATAATTGAATATACATCATGCCACAGGGATTTTTATGCTACTGGGAGCATTGATGCACAAAGGGTAAGAGTGATGGCTGACTGGACTTAGTGAGTGGCATGGAAATACCACATTTTCTTAAATGTAGTGCCAAATATGGTATTCTCCCTTCTCAGCCTATCACCAACACGATCTCTTCTATTCCCCAGATTTTAATATTATTTTGTAAGGGTACCCAGGACTGAGATTTATCTTTTTCAAGGAAACACATATCTTTATTTTATGAACTATCACCTGTTTAGAGGGAATTTCACATTGGTCTAAAGATTGCTCTAACGCAGGAAGGACAGAACCATTATTCTGAAAGATAATAATAAGTATACTTAAAAGGTGGAAGAGTAGAGTTCCAGGAAGCAATGGTTAAACCAAGTTAAGTGGGTTTATTTATTGGAGGACTTCTCTGAACCTTTTATAAGATTAATTGAAATGGCAGGTCTTCAAAAGGAGAATATAGAGTATATAGCATTTCCAAACATATTTGGCATTTGTTCTGTGCAATAGCTATTAAATATTCTTCTGTGCAACACAGTTGAGGAAACATTGGGTTAGACCATGGGGATAATTTCAAAACATGTTCCTCTCATCAGCTACATTTCAGTTTGCTCTACTTATGGAATAATATTTTGGAGTCCAAAGAGAATAAACTAGGCAAGCAGATACTGTTGTCCTCCAGAAAGTGGTGTTGCCCTGATCTGCTGGCAGAAGGAACTGCCCAAGGAAGACAACTGGGGAGAAGCCCCTGTATACAAACCTGGAATCCTAAAATGGGATGAGTGGGAGCAAGAGGTGGCAGTGGAGATTGGCAGCCATATCAGTAGGTAACCCCTTGGGCTGCTGGTGCCATCTGATATTTTTCTAATATTTGCAGCTCCCCATGACCTAGGAGAGAAAGGATTACTTCTTAGGAAGAGGATAGCCAAATGCCAAAGGCATATGAGAAGATGCTCAAACTCATTAGTCATCAGGGAAATGCAAACTGAAACTATAATGAGATACCACTACTCACGCTAAACAATACACAACATTAAAGGGACTGACAATACCAAGTGTTGGGGAGGATGTGAAGCAATTTTTCTTTGATACATTGCTGGGCAGAGTGTAAAATGTTTGCTCACTTTGGAAAGCTTTGGCAGTATTACTAAAGGTAGACATACCTATAACCTACAACTTAGTAATTCTCCTAGTTATATATCCAAGATAAATGAACTCATATGTCCATCAAAAGATATAACCTGGAAATCTTTTTTATAACTTTTAAAATAAGTTATTTTTAAGCAGACTTAGGTTTACAATGAAATTGAGAGGAAGGTACAGTGATTCCCTACATACTCCCTGTTCCTACACATGCACAGCCTTCCCCATTATCAACATCACTCACAAGAATGGTGTATTTTTTAACAAGGATGAACCTACATTGACACATCATAATTGCCCAAATTCTATGGTTTTCTTTAAGGTTTACTACTGGTGTTGTATACTCTATGGGTTTGGACAAAGTATAATGATATATATCCACTATTGTAAAATCATACAGTATATTTTTACTGTCCTAAAAGTTCTCTATGCTCTGCCTATTTATCCCTCCCACTTCCCACTAACCCCTGGCAACCATTGATCTTTTGATAGTTTTACCTTTTCCAGAATGTCATATAATTGGAATCATGCAGTATGTAGCCTCTCAGATTGGCTTTTTTCACTTAGTAGTATGCATTTAAGGCTTATTCCTGATTTTTAATGACTTAATAGCTCATTTATTTCAAGTACAAGATTTCTAAATATTAGTTGTCTTTATTATAGCTCAAAGCTGTAAACAATTCAATAAGAAAAAAGATAAACAGACTTAACATAATATTATTGAGATACTTTACGTGTATTGATACACACAAAATGGATGAATCTCTAAAACAATATGTTGAGAAAAAGAAGCCAGTCATAAGGCATACTGTATTACATTTACATTAAATTTAAGAGCAGGCAAAACTAACTTATGGTGACAGAAATCAGAATAGTGCTTATCTAGAAGGTGTGGATACCTCTAAGCATGAGTGACTTTTTGGGACAATGTCCGATATCTTAACCTGGGTAGTGGTTACATATATAACCAGTTGGTATCTAGATATATAAAAATGTATGCTCTTAAGATTTATATAATTTACTGTATATAAAATGTATTTGACCATTGTAAATGATCTATCTGGATATAAATTATACTTCAATAACATAAGAAAAAAGCATCAGTGGGGAAGTATGTATTATTTTCCAAAATATGCCTCCCTTCTCAAATATTATATTGATTAGAACAAGTTAATTACCATGCAATTACCTTAGACAATAGATCATATTAGGCATCTGTTACTATAATATGAAGGAAAATATTAGAAATTTTTTGTGGGATGTATCCTAAAGGTGATTGAAGGAAAGTATTTCAGTCACTTATAAGAATCATTTCCAGGTCTTAATTTAAAGTTTATGTGTGGTCCTACAGTAGTACTATATTTTATAACATGTATAAGTGTCTAATAAGCACTAACATTTTTTAGTCTTACTTTTGGGAACTATCAAATGATTGAACAAGTAATGAATAAATAATGTAGATTGATTTAGACCCTTAATTAGGAATTGGGAGAAGTCAGTAGCAGAGGTTTCTCACTAGAAAAAAATTCTAATCCAGAGACCCTTTTCTTTATTTTTCTTTTAGGTTTAATTTCATTAGAGTCTTTAGGTTTCATTGCAATTGATACCATGATGAAGTATAGAATACAAAGAGTGAGGGATAAAATTTCTTATCATCTATCACTTCTCAGGTATTTGAGAATTTTTAAATTAAGTTAATAGATACATTATGAAACTTAAAAACTTTTGGTCTTCAGAATTATTGTTTTTCTTTACTGTCAATATCCACAGTGACTTCCCTTCTTATATTCTTAAGGTTGAAATTCAGAGTCAACTATTGCAATAAATGATAGGAGGTTCTAGTGGAATCTCTAAAGCCTTACCTAGAACCTAAAAGGAAATGAATTGAACTGTAATTATATTTTATTTATTGGCTAAGAAGAAAAATTACAATTCCTCCTTACATTTCAAGTTCAATTTTGGCCTAATGGACTCCATTATTAAACTTGAAAAAAACTCTAGCAATCTACCTTCAAATAACCAAAAAAGAGAATCTAACTGGTGGTTAGTCAGCATCTTAATTTCTACTTCCTTCCTTCATTCGCTCACCTTCTTTCTTGACGCCAACTACTCATTTGATCCGTTCACCAAAACTAACAGTAAAGAGAAAGCAGATATGAGGCTTTCCAGTCAATTAAAAAATCAATTACTATGACTTTTTGGTGAATAATAATATAATTGAATTAATTGTTGCTGGACATTTTATATCTTTTATGTGCTCAAACATTGTGAAGTGCCTACTTAGCCATAATTAACTATTTGAGTTTAGTGTCTCTTTCTAATTATATTACCAATTTAAATTTGTACATGGTTTGTCACAGAGGCAATTCTTAGTTCAGTTAGTACCAGTGAGGGAGAAAGGGCTAATTTATTTGACTTATATTAAACAACTAGATTTGGAACAAGGTTTCTCAACCTTGGCACTATTGATAGTGGGGCTGGGTAATATTTTATTTGAGAGAATAATGCTGTGCATTGTAGGGTGCTTATTTAGCAGCATTCCTGGCATCTATCTTCTAGACTCCAGTAGTGTGACCCGCTCCAAGCGGTTACAACCCAAAATGTCTCCAGACATTGCCAAATGTCCTCTCAGGGGCAAAATCAACCCGAGTAGAGAACCACTGATAGAGACCAATGAAAGGTCCTATTTTTCTACTTTCTAGTAGGAAATCTACATAATCTCTAGTAGTATGAATTAGTTGCAGGTAATCCTTCAATGCTAAAGGTTGAAGAATCAACATTCTCATCTTTTTTTCATCCATATATTTTTCACCATTTCTGCAGTCAGTGATACTATTCTGCTTATTAATATGCTTTCTTTTCTGTCTAATGTAATTATTCTAATAAAAATATGCATTCATTTATAGAAAGTATGATTCTTGACCTGGCTGGTGTTTCTCAGTGGTTGGAGAGTTGACCTGTGCACGGAAAAGAGGCAACCAATCAATGTGTCTCTATCACATCGATGTTTCTCTTTGTCCCCTCTTCCTCCTCTCTACTCTCTAAACATCAATTTTAAAAAATCCTTAGGTGAGGATTAACAACAACAACAAA